AACCACACATATATGGTCCACTGATTTTTGAAAAATTATTTAACATTAACATTTTATAGAACATAAACTCAAGAGCAGAGGAAAAGATAGTGTTTTCAGCAAATGGTACTAGAACACCTGGTATCTGTATGTAAAAAATTATCCTCAGCCATTTATTTCTATATATAAAAATAACTTGAAAGGATCTATGAACCTAAATATGAAAGACTAAAACTATAAAACTTTAATAAGAAATTATAAGGGAAAGTGTTCATGAATTTAGGGTAGGCAAGAATTTCCTAGGATATAAAAAACATGATGTATAAAAGACAGAAATTGATAAATGAGATTCCATCATGATTTAGAACTTTAAATGACATCATTAAGAAAACGAAAAGTTGTCATTAACCACAACATATTTATAATTCATATAACCTATGACCAGAATATATAAAGAACACTTACAGCTCATTAACAGACAACCCAATTAAAAAGTAGACACAAGAACATGGTAAAGAGCCAGTACAGAACAAGGAAAGGTGTGAAACACTAGAATCAGAAAAATACTAATCAGTACAATAACAAGATCGTATTATACACTCAATAGGGAAATGAAGTTAAAAGTTTTAAAAGAACAAATGTCAGCTTAGGTGTGAACCAGTTAGAACTGTCTAACACTACTAATGTGAGTGTAAAATGACAAAACTATTTTGGAAAACAATATAGAAATTTCTTGTATTACTGTTAAGAACCAACAGTTCTGTTCTTCAGTTTTTATTTAAGAGGAATGAAAAAACATGTTCACAATAGATTTGCACATACAAGTTGACTATTGCTTATCTGAAATTTTTGGGACCAGAAGTGTTTCAGATTTTGGGTTAAAATCCACTTGATCTGCAAAGAGGATAGCTTCTCCTGCTCTTTTTTTGGTTCCTGTCACATGAAGTATTGTTTTCCACTCTTTAACTTTCAGTCTATGAGTTTCTTTTTGAATTAAATGTATTTCTTGAATTAAGCATATTGTTGGATTTTGCTTCTTGACCCATTCTGCCAGTCTATTTCTTTTGATTGGTCAATTGAGACCATTAACGTTGATGGTTATAACTGATAGGTATTGACTTATCATTGTCATGACTTTTTCTTTTCGTTGGATTCTCCTCCTTTGCATTTAATTTCTTATTGCGCCTGATGGATTCATTCTGCTGGGTTTCCTGGGGTTGTGATCCTCATTGTCTTTTCCTAGGGTATTGTCTAAAATTTTTTGGAGTGCTGGTTTGGTATTCATGAAGTTCCTGAGGTGCTCTTTATCATGAAAGCATCTATTTCTCCATCCATTTGGAAAGACAGTTTTGCAGGGCACATCAATCTGGGTTGGAGGCTGTTTTCCTTTAGGGCTTGAAATACATCACTCCAAGCTCTTCTTGCCTTGAGGGTTTGCACTGAGAAGTCTGCTGTGATTCTGATGGGCTTTCCTTTGTATGTGATTTGTTTCTTTTCTCTCACTGCTTGTAGAATTTTGCTCTTCTGTTGCTTTTCTGGAATCTTAACTATTATATGCCTATGTGTAGATGTTTTTGATCAAGGCCAGTTGGAGTCCTATATGCCTCACTTATCTGTATGTCAAGTTCTTTTCTCCTGCTTGGGAAGTTTTGTGATTTTTTTTCTATGTCATCTGGACTCTCCCGTTTCTTCAGTGACTCTGATCAGTCTTATTTTTCTTTGCATCATCTAGCAGCTGCTGGATCGATTTCTCATGGCCTCTTACTATTTTAAAGAAATTTTTCTTTACCTGGTCACTAATTGCAATTGTATGTTCTATATCTGAAATTCTGTCCTCGCATTGGCTCATTCTGTTCCATAGACTCTTTCAATGAAGTTTTTAATCTCCTGGAAATCTGTTTGCATCTGTTTTATGGATTCCATTAGTTTCCTATGTTGGGATTCCATCATGTTCCTCAGCTCCTCTATTTTTTTTATCTGTGTCATCTCTAGATTTATTAGTCATGTCTTGCACTATGAGCACAATCCCTGCTGTTATCTGAAAATTTATTTCTGATTTCATTTTTCCCAGATCCTCTTTTGTTGCCAGTTCAGGGAGTCCAGGTACCAGAGTGTTCCATCTCATTTCCCTTTGGGGCTGCTTTAGGTGATCTGAAAGTCTTGTTTTGAGACTTGTTTACATGTCTTCTCATTTTGACGGGGTTGGGGGGTTGGGTGCTGTTGGTGCCTGCGTGGCTCACCTCCTCTGTGGTGAGGAGGTATGGTGGTATGGTGGCCCGGAAGCCTTCTCCTGGGTGCTGGGTGCTGGGAGCATCTCACCTCTTCTGGGCTGAGGGGGTGTGGTACGGTGGCCCAGAAGCCTCCTCCTGGGTGCTGGGAGTGTCTCACTTCCTCTGTGCTGGGGTGGTGGTGGGGATACAGTGGCCTGGAAACCTCCTCTTCAAAGTCATTTTATAGTTTTTTTACAATTCCAGCAAAGCAAGTCAGAGTTTTACCTGGGAAATTTAGCTGCTTTTTCATATATATGTGATATTTATTAAATTATTTCTATACCAAACCCCTTTTTATTGCTTCTCATTTTCCTGGGCTGACCGTTTTTAGGATTCTTTCAAGAATCTCTTTGCTGGAGATTGGGCCCCTGTCTAGCATTTCACCTGTGCCCATTCTAGTCTCCCCATCCTCTTCACACCTTCTTTGGATCCTGGTATATTGGATCCCCCAGTGTATCACCTCCCAGGTCCAAATTCAGCTGCTCTGGACTCTAAGCATTCTTCTTTGCAGCCAGCACACTGAGCTTTGTCAGTGTGAGGTGCAGGAGGGTACTTGCCAAAGGAAGGGGCATCTCCTCCGGATGTCATCTGACCTGTGTCTGTTTTCTGCCTCCTGCTCCTACAGCATGGTGGCCAGGAGGATGTGTGTATGGGGGAATGTCTGGTGGTGCTCAGCTCCAGCCACACATCCCTCAAGCCCTGTCCCCACTTCAGTGACCCCTGCTATGTAAATAAACCAAGGTGGCCTCTGTCTGTTGGCCCCTAAGTTGTTCATTTTCTTGCAGCAAGTTGGCTCCTTGTTGTTCAAAAGCCTGCAATGCCAGACTCACTATTTACACATCCAGTTGTTTTAAACATAGTCCAAACAAGCAGAGCTTGAGCCCTCTAGAGCCTGCCTGCTTTGCATACCTGTGAGGCTACACCCCACATCTGCTAGCCATAGCCAAGAGAAAGCCTGTGGCATTAAAGACCTTAAGACACTGCTGCCCTGGGCCGCAGTCTGACCAGACTCTCTCAGTGCTCGTGAGCAACACCCTGACCTGCCTTGGCCTCTGGGTGGTCTCATGCTGTTAAGGGCACTCTGCCTGCAAATCTGTCAAGTGTCACCCAGTCAAGGCTGGTGCGAGCTATCTCTTCCTTTTGTCAGCCTCCACATCAGCTCTCGCCTGGGTGACCTAGCAGACTTTTCTGTCTCCCAGTGTGTTGGAAACAGAACTCTCCACTGAGGTTGAGTCCTAGTGGTAGGAAGGACCTCTGCCTCCCTAGCCCCTTTTCCTCCATCCTTGTGAGATTAGAGTGCCTGACTCTTCATAGTTACTTCCGGTTATAGTGATTGTTCATAGTAATTTCATAGTAATTTTTCCCTGGCCAAATTACCACATGGTTCCTGGCTCCTGATGGCCCCTGGGCCCCTCCAGTGTCATTCAACCATACCTGCCTTCTGGTGGAGCTCTGCCTGCCCTCCTGGGTCTCAGCTCTTTTTGGAAGTGAGGAATAGACACTAAAGGGAGTGGGATTTGCCAGGGCTTTCGGACTCTGTTCCACTCACTTGACCTCACTGGGCTCTGCACTGCCCTTAGCTGGGAAGGTGTCAGGAACATAGGACAAATGAGGCTTTCTCTGTGCAGCTCATGTGCCCATGGCTCCTTCCTTTCTGTTTCAGAATCAGTTCGGTGTGGCTACAGACCAGCCTTTCCCAACTCGTCATGGTTGCCATTCCAAGAGCTGCTGGAAGTCCAGGATGGTGAGTTTCCCTGGCAAGTGAGTATCCAGATGTCTCAGAGGCACCTCTGCGGGGGCTCCATTATACATCGGTGGTGGGTCCTGACAGCTGCACATTGCTTCCCAAGGACCTTGTAAGTGCCTGGACTGTTGTTGTCATTTATACCTCATTTCAACTATGTTCTCTCTGGGCTGTTGCTCCATGCACTGGTGCACAAGGCTTCTGAGGCCATTGGTTCTGTAGCTGGTGTGTTTCAGTTGCATTGGGCCCAAAGTCTCTGCTCTACACCTCCTCTCTCCTCTTCACCTCCTCAACCATGTACAAAGGTGGCTGCTAGTACTGGAGTTTCAGCACGAGCTTCCCTTCTCCCCGCCTTCTGATACAAAGGGAGCACACTGGGTTATTCACTGAGCATGCACTCAGGGAGCTCCCACTGTGTGCTGTTCCAGGAGCTGGGGATTCAGCAGTTGATAAGACAGTCAAGCACTCAGTTGCCAAGGAACTCCCGTTCTCTTCTCTGGGACAGATCCATTCCATTTCCATGGCCTGGGGTTGCCTGGGCAGATGGTTCTCCAGCTCAGAGATACTTGCTGGTGTCTGAGCCCCAACCCCTACCCACCTGATGTCTAGCCACTCCCGAAGCCACCAGGGTACACCTGCTTCTCTGGATTTCTCAGTATTTAGAGTTGTAAATGAGTCTACGTGTTGTGAATGAGTCTACCTATGTACAATGCCCCATGACTGTTGTTAGCCCTGATGTTTGTATATTCATTCTTCAGATTTGAAATGGCAGCGGTAAATGTCACTGTGGTCATGGGAGCCAAAGCATTCAGTGACATCCACTGGGAGAGAAAGCAAGTGCAGAAGATCATTACTCACAAAGATTACAGGCCACCCCACCTGGACAGTGACCTGGCCCTGCTCCTGCTGGCCACACCAGTTCAATTCTCTAGCTTTAAAATGCCCGTCTGCCTGCTGGGGAAGGAGGCGTCCTGGGACCACTGTTGGATGGCAGAGTGGGTATCGGCTTATGGGTATGGTATGTGTCTCCCTTCAGAGCTCGGGGGAGGCCCACAGTTAGTTTGCCCTGGAGTAGGCAGCATAATGCTTTGGATGAGGGAAGACTTGGATCCGAATTTGGAACAAGATCCTTCACCACCTTTTTTTGTTGTTAGTACTGGGGATCAAACCTGGGGCCTTTACACTAAGCTACATCCCTAGAGCTATTTATTTATTTAGAGACAGGGTCTCAGTAAATTGCTAAGTTGCCCGGGCTGGGCTTGAATTTGCAATCCTGCCTTAGCCTCCCAGAGTGCTGGGGAAAGAGGAGTGTGCACCCCCACTTGGCTCTTCGCCTTCCTTCTTCTCCTTCATCTCTTCTCATCTATGTAATGACAGTAATGTCTTCCCCAAGTATGCCATGTGGTTTAAGTTAATGGAATTATACAAGTAAGAGCCCATTGAAAGCTTAGGACAGATAAGGCTAAGCAGAAGGATCACAAGTTCAAGTTCAGCCTAGGCAACTTAGTAATGTAGTGAGACTCTGTCTTAAAATTTAAAAAAAAATTTTTTTAAAAAAGGGCTAGGAGGGTAGCTTAGTGCAAAGGCCCTGAGTTCGATACAAATTATGGGAAAAAAATAGAATAAAAATGCCCGATACATAGAAAAATTGTAAAACAGGACAACAATGATAATTTTTATGGATTCTCTATAAAATTGCTTAGATTCTCCCTTCAGGATATGTCTGAGAATGTCCATCCCCCCTCCACTGAGCACATGATATAGACCATCATCTAGGGAAAACTGCAGCCAGGGTTCGCTAGACCACAGGAACTAATGACTCCACCCCCATCCCTGTGGGACTCCAGGCTAGGAGGGAGGGTTAGGCTAGGCAGGATGGGGCAAAGGCCAAGAGTTCCAGCCATGTTCTCTTTCTGGTTTTTCCAAGTGGCTTGGTAGAGGCCTAGACGCCTTGATTCTGAGATTGAGCTCTTCTCCACCCTGCACAGGCCAAAGCCTGGCTGCAGGGGAACAGTGACCATGGAGGAAGCTCCTCCTGGTGCCCTGGCAGGGGCTGGGTGTGGCTTTTGTGGGTTGCTCCTGGAGGGAGGGAGCATCCCATATTGAGACACTAAACAAGGAATACCTGTTGGAGCTTCTGAGAGGGACCTTGCAAGGTGACTTACTGGGCCTTTCAGCCCTCCTGGGCTGTCACCTTGGCCAGTGGGGGGCTGGTTGCTGTTGGTGGCCAATGCCATGATCCTCTCACACTGGCTTCCTCCCTTGGTCAGGCACGTCTAGTGGCTGGAACATGCAGCTACAGAAGCTGAGGGTGACCCAGATCAGCTGGAAAGCATGCTCGGCGAGGGTGGAGAAGCTGTCCAGTAAGATGCTCTGTGCCTGGCAGGAACTGGACACCAATGGCAACTACTGGGTATTCAGCCCCACAGGGACCCTGGCTTCACATGTGTGCCATCTCTCTGGGTTCCCAGGGGACCCCTGACCCCATGTCTTCTGGCTGGAGACCCCTAGGCATCTCCCAGACTGTTGCTTTTTTTCTCATTTCCAGGGAGACAGCGGGGCACCCATGGTGTGTGCTAACCGGGGCACCCACAGGCTCTTCCAGGCGGGCATCTTCAGCTGGGGCCTGAGCTCCGGCTCCTGGAGGAGGCCTGGCATGTTTGTGTCTGTGGCTCAATTTATTCCATGGATCCAGGAAGTGACACAGAATGAAGGCAGAGAACTCCCTGACTTGTGGCCCCCCAGACCTCCTAGCGCTGGGCCTGGGGTCTCAGGTGCTGCTCGCTGCCATGCTCACTTGATAAATGGAGTTGAAAGGTTCAGAGGCCCTTTTCCTTCTCCTTTCCTGACCCTGTTCTCTCCCATCTGGTCACAAGCACCTAGGAGCCTCAGTCCACACCAGACCCAGGAAGCCAGGAATAGGCTCATTTTTCCCAAACCTGCAACCCAGTGAAGGAATATCCAACACAGGACTAGAAAGGGGTGCACCAGCACCTGGGGGAACTAAGGGAGAACCTTAAACTCCAACAAGGAGCCCCAAGGGAGGGTTAGGAAAGTGCTGAAAGGAAGACCACCTCGGGTTCCTTGTCCATGAGCATGGAGACTTACCCGGATGAGTGTTGAGGTCCACATCACCCTGGCCTTCTTGTCACCCTTTCTCTTACCCTACCAGTGCCCAGCACAGACCTGTACCTAGGCAGTCTCCCATCCCTGCAGTGCAAATGCTTTAGAGCCCCAGGCTATGCATGAAGGAGCGGCTATGGCAGGGCTAGACCCAGGGACTGTGGTCCAGCTTGGAACTTGAAGTGGGAGATTATGACTTGGGATTTAGAAATCACCCCTTCACCCCTTTCCTTCCCTCCTCTTAATAGATCCAAGAATTGCATAATAAGGTGGCTGGGGGAGCAGCAATGTCTGAATGAGAATCGCTAACGGGTGGCCAAGGACTGCTGCTGGCTTGGGTTTCCTGGGGATCAGATTGTGTGGGAGATGAATTGGGGGATGTACCTTTAGGCTGGACATATGGGGAGGGCAGAAAGCAGGACGAGACAACAGAGATGGTGAGTGTGATGAAGTCTCTGCCAAGGCCATCCTCAGGCTGGCCTTCCAGAGTTGTCCCAAATTGGGGTAAGGGACTCTAATTTGTCATGCCCAGTCTTGGTCAGTCATTCAAATTAGGCTTTTCCTTGGAGGGAGCCATGACCACTGTGGGAGACAGAATGGCTTTGATTCACCCAAGGCAATGCTCAAAGAGAGTTGATGGCTGAGAAAATAATGTTTCCAAAGGAAGAAGGTGAGCATCACATCACATCGCAACAGTCAGCATGCTGGGTAATGGAAACAATGGTGAAATGGCCAGAGTCAGTTCCACCCGCAAAGGCCTAAAGTTATAAGAGGTGGTGATCCATCCTATTCCCATTCAGTTCACTGGTGTGAACCCTGCACAGCAAATGATGATGTTCCGGCATGCACTTCATCACATGGTTGCCCCAGCTGAGGCCCCAGGTGCTGTCCTCACTATAGCACATCGTGTGGCACACAGTACGCAGTTATGGTTTGGGAAACGCATGGCTTCCTCCAAGAAAGAAGATGGCAATCAGTGCACACTGACCAGGAAACTACTGTAGCTCACATCCACTGTCTTGTCCCAGAACTGTTAATTCTCCTGCTGTCTGTGACAGTATGGCATCACATTGGTCCACTATGCTGTATCAAATGCTCTTCATACTTGGGGAATAAGAAGTGGTAAGTTCCTTACATACCCCGCTAAGACACATACTCCAGAGGATGGAAGATAAGTCTGGAAGAATTGGGGTGCTAACACATTGGTAAAGATTTTAGGGACCAAAAGGTCTGGACATCCCCAGAAATGTCCCCTTTAAGGTAAAGGACAAATTGTTGCCCTATACACCTGCTATCACTATGTGTCCCTGGCAGGTCCTTTTAGGACTGTGTAGATGGCATATGGTGATTAAGAAATAGTGCTCTGGCTCCTTTAAGGTGACTGATTGTGTTTCCAGTGGAGACAGCACTCAGGGTCTGAGGGGGCTTTGCCCAGAGCTCAGACTGCAGAGCAAGCCACATTGCCAATTTGGTCACGTGATCAGTAGATCAAATGGCATCTGTGTGAGGACAAAAATGCTGGATTGCTCTAAAGGCTCATCTCCTCCTCCTCTTTGGTGACCAGGTTAGCTCAGTGGAAAGAGAGGCAAACACTGGTGCTGGATCCCTGAGCTCCTGGTGCTCCCCTTTCCCAAGTCACGAGGCTGCCACTTTTAGGGTTTCATAGATGTTCCCTATTGTCTCCCATCCAATACGTATGTTGAGCAATGTGGGGATGGAGCTGCTCTCTCCTGGGACACTAGTGTGGCATTTGCATACCATTGATGCCCAGCTGAATCTAGTGAGGGTGCAGGGTTGGTGACCCACTCCTTGTCCGCCGCCATGTTTTCCTCCCCTGAATCCTAGTGTCTGCCTGTCCAAGCTGCCATGGTGGACATGGACATTATATAGAGTGCCTGGCAAGCCGGGTAGGATGGCTGTAGGTGGCCAGGGATCTGAAGCAAGCTGCCTTTTTTTTTTTTTTTTAGCAGAGAATGATGATCTTGTGTATTAATTCCTGCCATGCTACAGGGGTGTCATAGAAAGCAAACAATGGTCCACTTCCAACGGAAATCTAAGGTTGGGCTTCAGCGAGTTTAAGGGGTGTGAACATGGTGGGGCATGGTACTGACCCCGGCTGCAGAGAAGCCTCTCTTACACCTTACACCAGCTGACACAGGGCACACCAGCCCAGTCCTGCAAAAGGGCTTGGGCTGCAATGGACCCACCTGGGGTTGGCCTTGAATGGTGTGATGAGGGAAAATCCTCTCTATGGCCAAAGCTTTGAATGGTGCCCTTAGTTATCTCCTCCATGTGGAGGAGGTGGTCTGAGGTAAGCCTCGTGGGCAACAGTGAACAGCCTGGCCAGATGGGCAGGGCTTGGAAGGAGCAAGACTGGAAGGTCAGAAGCACAGAGCTTAGGAGAAGAGGCCTGTTGTGATTCAGAATAAGCCAACCGGGGTAGGGATCTAGAGCCTTGGGATTTTTTATTAATGCATCTTAGTTATACAGAAAAATGGGTCCGTGCACACAACATACTTTGATCGTTTCCACCCCGTGAGTTTCACGGTCACCCTCCTTTCATTTAGCAGCCTCTCATGGAAACACCTAAAGAGGCCGTGAGGTCAAGGTCTGCTGTAATTGAGTCACAGCTTTGGTATTGCTTACCATGAGCTACCAGAGCCCACTGTCCCCGTAGTAGTGAGGTCATTTTTTGATGGCCTTCGAATCAAACCAAGCCTAACAATGCACCTTAGATTCCTAACCTTGCTGTTGTACTTCCCGGAACCATTTTCAGTACCAAGTGGTGTATCAGGATTCTCTCACGAAAATAGAAACCATTCCCTGTGTCTCCAGCAGAAAGGGGTCTACCATGTGGATGCTTATGGAGCCATCCAAAGGGCTTATGTGAATGGCTGCTTGTGGAGCTCAGGAGCCTGTTGGTAATGGTCTCATGATTCTCTTTAGCACCAGGGAGAGGATTTGCAGAGGGGAACCCGAAGTTCAAGGCCAAAGCTCATGACTGCCATCTGCTAAGGTCTGATGCCTGCCCACAGCTACTATAGGAAAATAATACATTCTCCATCTTCTGCCTCTTAAAGCTTGGCTGAAAATCTCAATTCTGAGAATCCCAGCTTCTCAGTGCTCAGCCCCAACCATCCCTGGGAGTGTCAGAGAGGCAGAGGTGGTACCAAACACTAGCATGCAATCTCGGGTGTGGTAACAGTGACTGTGGGACCCAGAAAGGTCAGGATGGCTCAGGTGGTCAACTCCGTCCTCCGTGGGAAAGTGCTAGACAATGCCGAGCCTTTGTGTTCCACCAGCTCCCATTCCCCATCCAGATTCTTTGCTGCCTTCCTGGGGTCCTGGCAGGCTGAGTCCTAGGGCCTGAGTTCCCTGGGATCCTCAGTGCTATGGGGGTTGCCTTCAACAAGTACCGAGAAAGGTAAGATGGCAGGAAGTGGGCAGGTTTGCCAGATTCCATCCCATTCCCGTTTGGGCCCTCCCTCTGCCCAGAGCTGGGTCTCTCCAGGCTCGGTTCCTTCCTGTGCCCCTACAGGACACACACCTGTTGCTCACATGCGGTCCTCTCCTGGCCCATGGCTTCCTGCTGCCTTGAGTCCCGGGGCAGCTGGCTCTCCTTTGTTGAGTCTCTCACGACACTCACACTTTTAGGGCCTCCACTGAAACATCTTCACTTGAGCTTTCAGAGTGGCATTCTGTCTCCGTCTGGAACCCTCCCTCGTCACATGCTCCAGCCTGGCTGGCTGCAGAGCCCCAACCTCCGTCCTTCCACCTCTGCGGCTAGACATTCAGAAAGTCACCTGGGGACTGCGGAGAATACCCTCCGTGCAGCCGAACCCTAACACCAGACCTGCCCTTCGCAGCAAATTTGAGGACATCACCTTCAGGGAATGGAGGGGCTGTCAGCACACAGACAGCCCCCAGGAGCAACACAGCTCCAGGGTCCTTACCTTGCACACTTGTCCCAAATGGAGTCACTGAATATGGAGCATTACGGAAATTATCTGACCAGCCTTAAACAAGAACCAGGGAACAGCTACCACCCCAAAGCGGGGAGCCCCTAACGTTGGTGGGGAGCAGCTCTACTTCTTCATCCGTCTCCTGCCCCGGATAGCTCTGCTCACCTCCCCCAGCTTGTGGTGACATCGACACAAGTGCACTGGGACCTAAACTGGGTCCCGGAGGGCAGGGTGGGCTGACACAGGCCCACAGCCCACATCCTCCCCTGACCTGGCTCCCAGCACCCCTGGCCCAGAGCTCAGAGCAGGCCCCATGGTGCCCTGCCCCCAGGACACCGAGCAGGGGCACTGCGCCCCTCTGCACAGCCTGGGAGTGGGCCGGGCCTGTCCCTGACTGAGGGCAGAGGGGCGGCCCCTGCCTGCCCCTACCCTGCTGGGGTCCTGCCAGGGAGTCTGCCCTTCCTCCTGGGAAGTCAGGAGCCACCTGTGCCTGCTGTCCCCTAGGGGAGCTTCAGGGCGGCTCCCAGCGACTGCAGGTCCAGCCAGGGCCCCAGCAGGTGCCGGGCAGTAGTGGGCAGTGGGTGGAGCAAAATAGAGTCAAAAACCTGTTTCACACCTGACTTCAAGACCTGGTCCACCGGGGCTGAGAAGGGAAAGTGCCCACCTAGGTCGCCCACTGTGAAGGGCAGAGCCGGCGCACAACCTGGCCACCATCTGCTGCCTGCCACAGCTGCCCGCCCTCCTCCAGGAGGTCCGTGTCCAGCACCAGAGCCTGAGGTCTCTCTCCCTCCACAGGTTCTGTCAGAGCACGGCTTTGGTGGGATCACCACTGACATCCGGGAGGGACAGACTTTCTACTACGCAGAAGACTACCACCAGCAGTACCTGAGCAAGAACCCGGATGGCTACTACAGCCTTGTGGGGAGGGAGCCCTGCAGAGCAGCCTTTCTTTGAGGCCTGTTCCCCTTCCTGGGCACATGCACCCAAGAGGCTGCAAATGCTAACCAGGCAATGAGATGCTTTGCGCCGCTGAGCTGCTTGCAGAGAACTGTGAAGGAAGCATTTCTCCTTCCCCTGCACGTCAGGCCCTATCTGGCAGAGGAAAAAGAGAACTCGCTTGATGAATCCTAATGTTTTGCTTACAGCTCTGAGAAATGTAGCAAGTTCCCATTACAATGAATAATTCTTGGGATTTGTCCAAGAGTGCTTAAGATAAATTTTTAAGCCTCACAACATTTAGGGAAAGAAAAAGTTATATAGCCACTTTCCCTAAAGTGAAATCCGTTATGTACAGAACCGTGCAAGTGTTTACACCTGTAGCTCCCTGTCAGTCATTAACGACAGCTGCTCACACACACCTGTCACATCCACGGTGATTTCTTGTGGGCATTATTCAGTGGCTACAGAATCGGGAAGACTTTATTCCGAGTTGAGCTTTATTTAATAAGTTAACCCCGTACCGGCCGCTCACCCACGTAGATTGGTCTTGTTACCCGGTGTCGTAGTGACTGGCAGTCCTCTCCAGACTTACTGTCCCATGCAAAGGACTGGGCAGAACGAGTGGTTAAAGTGAGGGTTTGACATTTGTTTTAGGGCACAAAAGCAGAAGAAAAACGGGAGAAAGGTGCACTGAAGGAAAAGGGAGCAGATACATCCTGCATACAGCACAGGCCACCACAAGAGCAAGAGAGGAGCTGTACAAAGTCATTGGCTGCTGCCTCAGCCTGACTCAATAGTTCACCCTGAGCTAGGCACATTTGCCAAATAGTCTGCCATTTTTGAGCTATCCAAACACCAATTTCTGTAGAATTTAACTTAGGTTTCTGCAGTTGCCACACACCCGATACCTTCTCAGGGGTCCTCAGCCTATCTAGAAGGCTGCATGTAGCTTCCAGGGCTACCATCCCAAACCCCACCTGCTGGGTGGCTCAGCACGACAGCAGTTTCTTCTACGGAGCTGCCAGAAGCTCAGCGTCAGAGTCAGCAGGGCCACGTTGCTTCCGACTGCCAGGGAAGGATGCACCCCGGGCCATCCAGCTTCTGCCAGTCCCCAGGCCTGTGGCTGAGTCACCATAGAGGGAACCAGTCCTACTGGAGAAGGGGCCCAGGCCACACCAACACGATTCGTCCTGAAGAATCCATCCCTGTTTCTAAATGCGGTGGCTTGCTGAGCTCTGTGGGCAAGGACTTCAACATGGGCATTTTGAGGGGGACAATTTAACCCCAACAAATACTTTGCTGCTTTTATCCAAGGCCAATTGTGTTTGCAGACTGACTAATCTCTGGAGAACTGCTTGGGGCTTCCGGCCCCACAATGTGCCCTTCTTTCCGGCTCCCAAGGACACCCTCTGGCCCTCCTCCTGTGCTGAGGGTCTCTTTGCCATGTATTTCCTGAGACAGTAATCTCTTCAAGAGGTCAGCAGATGTCTGGCCACCTTTGTGTCATCCTCCAAGGTGGGCGGGGCAGAATGCTCTGCACAGTGATGGTGAAGACACGAAGGACACCCGCTGGGGACAGCCTCTCCACACACGTCCTGTCCAGAGACACAGGTCTGTCTGCGTGGGAAGACACAGATGGACCTGCAGAATGAGAGCTGCCAGCCTGGCATTCTCCAAGTCCTGTGCATCAGCTCCCAGACGTGCGTGGTGACACAATGATGCACTGACATTAGCCTCATGTTGCAGGTGAGCAGCTAGAGGCTCCAAGATCAGTAACCCCCTAAGGCCCTGCTGGTGACGGGAGTGCTCTTCGGGAAGGTCTGCATGGCTGCTTGCTCGGCCATGCCACCTGGCCTGTTTGGACTGAAACCTCGGCTCCCTTCCCAGTTCCCGAGGCCATTCCAGGAGACACCTTCACCCTGGGATAGGTGGGAAAACAAGGCACACAGGGCCCCCCACTCCTGTTTCTAACCTCTCCCACCCTGTCCTCCACTCCCCAGACCACTCAGGATGCCCCATGGCTGCTGTGGACCATGCCGGCTCCACCCAGGGTCCTATTGTGACCTGGCATCAGGCTGGGCTGTGAGTTGACAGGCATGGAGGGCCAGTGCTGCCCCTGGCTGACCCTTCCCCATCACCAGCGTAGGGACAATGGCAGGATGGAAGGAGGGAGGAGCATGGCACCTGTTGGTGGTGGTCCTGCCACTATGCTGGGCACACAGCTCCCTGCCAGGTAGGTCTCTGTGGGGCCCCATGGGTGTCCCCTGCCAGGGCCTCTGCCCCTGGGCACACAGGTGCAGCCCCGGGAGCTACATCCAAGGCTCACCTCAGCCGGTGGTTATGGGAGGACTGGGGAGCTGCACTCGCAGGAGGTCCCAGGTGAGTCTCTGGCCAGACTTTCCCATCGGGAACACCCACACTTTAAAGTCACCGGTGGAAGAACCTGGTGTGTGTATGCGTGGGTGTGTACACGTGTATGTGTGCACGCGTGTGTGACCATCTGTGGTAGGTGCCAAAGTTTTCCGGAGCCAAGGCAAATGGCACCTCCTTAGAGCTGGCAGGCTGCCAAGCAGAGCAGTCCCCTGGCCACATCCGGTCACCATAAGGCCACTGTGCAATCCTCAGAGGAGCTATGTTTGCCACTGTCACCATGAAAACTTTTGCAGGGTTCTGCTGTCCCCACCAGGTCCGGCACAATCCGCCACACCCAGAACCAGACCCAGGATGTGGGTCAGCGCCCACCACTGAGCCTCTCCGGGTGCTGAGGAGGTACGGGTCATGCTTCACAGCCACGTGTCCGTCGGCAGCTGTCCCGGCCCTGCCACAGAGCAGTGCTGTTCCAGAAGCTCCCTTTGTGGCAGAGCATGATGTTCGGCCCCTCCCTGTGGGCACAGTGAGGGGAAAGTGTTGAGCAGAAACGAGTAAACGCAGTCAGCTTCAGCTCCCGCTCAGTGGTGAGAAGCTGACAAAAGAAGCCAGGGCGGCAGGAAGCCTGGGAAGGCTGAGGGAAGTGTCCCAGCTTAGCCCTTTTGGGGACCCTGGGACTTGGGTCGGGCCCTGTCTGATGAGGTGGCTTGGGGCCGAGGAAGGGCGCTGCCCAGGGCAGGGGCTCGCTGTGTGGCAGAGGCGGACAGGCCAGTCGCTCCGGCCGCAAGTGAATGGGATGGGCTCAGAGAGGCCGCAGGGCCCGGACAGTGCACAGACCAGACACGGAAAAGCACAGGAAGGGCTTCCAGGCTTTTTCTGGGCACAAAGGGGACGGCACTAGTGAATCTCAGGAGAGTGAGGGCCAGCCTGGAGGAGAGAAGGGCTGCTAGAGGAGGGCCTGAGAGGCGGAGCTGGGGAGCAGAGCGAGCCCTGAGAGGGGATGAAGGCCCTGCCCGACTTGCAGCCAGTGGAGGGGCAGACTGGGTGGCTTCGGGAGCAGGCGGTTTGGCAGCAGAGCCAGGAACGGGCTGACTCAGTGCACCTGAGCAGAGGAGGGAGAGGGAGAGACAGTCAGTTCCCGGTGGGTGTAGGACAGAGGCTCCTGCCTACAGGACCAAAAGGACGCGAGTGCGGTTTCCTGAGCTGGCCTGGGGTGCAGGCCCCGAGGTAGTTCAGTCTGGGCGCCTCGAAGGCCTTCTCAGGAGGCGTGCGGTGGGCGGAGAGGGGTGGGCATGGAGCTACCAAGGCTGTGTGAGCAGGCCCAGCGACGAGGTAGAGGGAGGAGTGGGCTGAGGCCTGGGCCACGGGTTCCAGGACGACGGCAATGCAGGAGCCTGAGCAGCAGTGGCCCCAGCGACCGCCCTGGCCGTTAAGGAGCCTGGGCCGAGATGGCGCAGTGAGTCACAGGCGTCTGTCTTCTCCTCCGTGGAGCCAATCGCACCCAGCCCCCCAGATGAGCTCTCCAGGAGGCAGGCGGCAGACGCCCGTGCGGCTCCGAGCTGGCCCAACTCCCAGTTCTCACGGAAAGCGCGGTGTGGGATCTCTGCTCCACGCGCGTGCACACCACGGGCCATCAGAGCCTCACAGCCCTGCCGCACGACACGGCTCCCCACTACTACCCCACAGCCCTGCGGCACACCCCGCGCTGCCCCACTCAGCCCAGCACGGAACCTGCACCTCACACCCACGCCCCTCACATGACACTCTAAGGCCACCTCCACACATCACCACCCCTCCGATCACCAGTCATGGGTGTGCGCTGCAGAGACAGAGCAGAAACTCCACACTGCACCTGCCTGATTTTCAGAGGACACTGAGACGTAATGTAAGGAAACCAGTGTTCCCTGGCTGCCGGGCTGGCACGCAGCAGCGAGATCCGGTCCCACGGCCGGGCTGGCAGTGCTGAGCTTCGCCTGCCCAGACCTGCATCGAGAGAACCTTCCGGAGAGCCACATGGCGGTCATGGTGGCACCTGGTATGCCCAGGAGCACACTGCCCTCGCCCAGGTGCCCTCGGCTGGCATGTGAGGGCCAAGGCTGTTTGAGGGTCTCTCCCCTGTGTTCAGGGAAGCAGACAGCTCACAGCGGTTTCTTCCAAACCAGCCAGCTTGACGACTGGGCCCCAACACTTTCCTCCCTCTCCTTCCTTCCTTTTAGTAATATGTGGCAAAAGAATCAATGCCGAACCTGGGCCATTCGACATTTCTGCAGTCATAGGTGGGGAGTCTGCAAATATTACAGAATTTCCATGGCAGGTGGGTATTCTGAACACAGGGAGGCATATTTGTGGGGGAAGTATTCTCAGTGAGTGGTGGATTCTCTCTGCATCTCACTGCTTCAAAAACACCAATCAGTAAGTACTGCAAAGAGAATCTTTTTTTTTTTTAATCTGTGTGGTAGAATATTTTCCTGGGTGCCCCAGAACCTCAACCAGTTTGTTGGCCATAGAACAAAACTTCAGATGGCTAAATAAAGGTCTATCCAGCTTCGTACTCCCCTTGGCATGTAGGGGGTGAGCCGCGCTCCTCCTAGGATGGCTCCCACCTTTCTGAGTGCCTAAACTTCAGCACAGATGTGCCTCGGGCTTTGCATCTTGCGGAGTTCATGCGGGCCTGGCCTGACTTCTAGAATGCACTTTTCCAAATTTTTGCTGTCTCTTGGAGAGATCATGGGCTGACCAGACTTGCAGAGTCAGAGCATTCCTGAAGGCATTAAGACCTGAGGGCAGGGCTGCACCCCTAACTGTACATTAGAAGCTCCCAAGTCCATCTACAAATGAGGATTTTTAAGCAGCTTCCAAGGTGCCTCCTCTGCAGCCAGCCCAGCCCTTGTAACAAGTCAAGGCCGAGCCCCTCAGTGACTTGAACGTCCCAGACATTGGGAAGCACTGGCTAATGAAACATACAGGGCAGTTTCCCTAAGTAGGAGACCATCATGCCAAGAGCCACTCAGCAAAGCTCAGGCCTGGAACTCAGATCTGTCTCCTGCCACCTGGATGGGGCTCTTTGCTTGGCTCTGTGGCACGTGTGGCCCAGACACCTCCCCCTACTCCTAGTCCTTAGTATCACAGCCACAGACATACAGAATTACTGCATTTCTACTATTTAACGTTTTTTTCCTCCTTCTTTTATTTTGAAATCAGATCAAACTTAGCGATTGTACATGGCACAGATGACTTAGAAGCCAAGGATGTGGAGAGTGTAGGAGTGGACAAGATAATCACTCACCCTGATTATGACAGTGCGATCTACAATAATGATATAGCTTTGCTCTTGCTCAAGTCCCCACTGATCTTTAATGTCACGAGGATGCCCGTCCACCTTTCGGAGGTCACTGACATTCAGGCATGGACAACCTGCTGGGTGACCGGATAGGGTATTACCAGTTGAGTTGCTCTGGGCCAGCCAGGGTGGTGGCGGGGGGGGGGGGCTGGCTGGCTGGAATTTAGAATGGGAAGTAAACTCTGGATGCTCTGCTGGCCCACGGGGAATTCTTCCTTGCACATTTGGGGACTTTCATTCTCACTGAAGGCCCACGATGAGCCTCGCTCTCAGGCCACTGGAAAGCCATCTTTCACAGGCCTTCCTGGGATCCTTTTAACAAGTTGTGTGCATGTTCTGTGGCCCATAGACCCTACAGAGGAACTCAGGGATAACCCAGGCAGAGGTCTTCCAAGCATGAGGGGTGATTTGGAGGAATTCTGAGGAGCAAATGGAAGGGCAAAGGGGCAGAAATGGGAACTGGCCTCTAGGAAGCCCACACCACTGTCAACCACAGCAACTCCGTTCCAGTTGCTGATGTCTGATCTGCTCTCCTGTACAAAGGACTCTGATCAAAATATTTGTTAATTGCAGGTCAAGACAAGAGAAGGGGATGAATGAGTATAAATTATTCTTTATGGAATTGACCTGCAATCCACTCCCAGGCCATTTCCCAGACAGCTGCCAAATACTCCCTTTCATCTTTGTTCTTGGCCAGTGTGCCCTGCTGCCTCATCATGAACAGAGGCGAAGAAACATGTCACAGGCAGCACTGTTCTTCCACATAGGCACTCAAGAGACTGAGCATTATTCCAGGGCGAGCCAAGAGCTCTGAGCTTGCTGGGAATCACCCTGAGAAGCTTTTCATGAGTTTTCATAAAAGGCCATTTTCTTAACTTAGAATTCTTCAAACTTCACCCAACGCACTGACACTCTGTCTTGTTCAAGGAAGTGGTCTAGACAGGGGGGATTCAGCCAGAGAGGGGGAAACATCGCTGTCTTGGAGAGAGAATATTCCAGGGGTTGGGTTTCAGGTGTAGAGTGAATGCCTTAAGGGGCCTGAGGTGACTCAAGTCCTTCTGTCTGTTCTGGCCCAAGAACAAATCTGCCACCATGGGTTCTCCTGATGGGTTTGAACAAGACACCTTTGGAGAATCCCACCTGGGGCCTGGCACTTTCTGTGGGATGGGAAGATGGTGATCTCTAGCTGGGACTGAGCAGGGGCCTAGTTCTAGAGAGCTCTGGATTTCGGGGGCGGGACTCCCCCATCTCCCACCCTCCTCAGTCCAAATTTGAATGGTTCTCTGGGCCATAGGGAAGTCCCCTTGTCACGAATGTGGAAAGACATCATGTGGATGGGTGTTTGACCTCAACAGAAAGAGACCACTCTGGGCTAAGAGCACTCTCTCCATCTGCTTCTCTTCAGGCTTATCTTTTACGAAAACTTCAAAGCTGCAGAAAGTCAACCTTGACCTAGTCCAATGGGAAAAGTGCTTCCATATTTTTCCTCTATTCACCACGAACATGATATGTGCTGGGAGTTCTGAAGATGGGAAAGACTCCTGCCAAGTAACAGGCCTGGGCTTGGTGTGGAGAGGATGACAGGCTCCCTTTCTCTCCTCTAGATGACATGCCACCAGAGCTTCCTACAGTTGCCATAGCAAATGACCACACTGGGTGGCTGAGAACAACATCAATGATGCTTACTTAGTTCCGGAGGCCATGTGTCTAAGACATCTGCAGGGTCCTGCTCCTCGCCCAGCCTCTAGGGGAGGAGACTTTCCTGCCCCGCCTGGCTCCTGGTGGTGGCTGGTAATCATTGGTGTTCTTGGGTTGCAGACACCTCATTCTAACCTCAGACTTCATGTGGCTTTCTCCTATCTTTTGAGTTCTAATAAAAACGAGACTTTTAATATTATATGTACTGCTCAAACCAGCACAAAAAGAGACTTAAAATCCAAGCCAAACTGGCCAGCCCAGATTTGCCTGGTCCAATACCCACATGAGCAAGAGAGCTGTCCTTGAGCAAACATGTGCCATGTACCAGGACCTGGACTGGATACTTCCTTCCACAGCCATGCTGCAGGATGGGCACTGAGCCACACACACCAAAGACAGTGTGTCCATTCTGGCCTAGCTCAGCATTCCCACTGGGGTCTAAAAGGTCTGCTTGGCTCCAGATGTGTAAGATCCCAAGTGTACGCTCTTCTGTGGGGCTTCTTACATGTGAACCTCTTATCTCCACAGAGGAATTATAATTTCATTTACAGGAAAGATTAGATGGTTTTTCTTTTTTTCTTTTTTGGTACCGGGGATCAAACTCGGGTCCTTGTGCTTGCACAGCAGGTGGTGAAACCACTGAGCTAAATCCCTGGCCCTGGTTAGGTGGTTTTTTGAGGCATTTGGTAAAGGACAGTTTGGTTCAAAGTGAGCTGATGGGGACAATCATTTGTCTATGACAATAGTGTGGATTTTTAAAAAGCAAGTAAACTCATTCATGTCTCATCTTTTGAGTTTTCACATTTTTTGGCTTGGATTTGGATTTTTAGCAAATCACTGAGAGGTGCTTTTATCCAGCTTTTTGGGTGTCATAAAACATTTTGAAAGTAAACCTTCAAAAGTTTTGTAACAATACGTAGAGCGTGACCCTATTTCTGTAAGATGATAATGATATATGCACATTTGCATACAAGGATATAGAAAGTTACATCTAAAGATATTAAAAGGAGCCGCCTCTGCAGGGTGGAATTAGGAGCACTGTTGATTTCACTTATTTATTCAAACACATGGTAAAGAAAGTTCCAGCTCTATAGATGGATATATAACAATGAGCAGATTTACCTTACATTTGTTGCCCAAAGGTAAACCATGATTACACAAATGTGTATTCTTCAAACATTCTTTTCACACACAATTGTATATATGCATTTATTTACACACTATGGGTATTTTTCATTCTTTTTTTATATCTGTGTTTTCCACTTTTTTTGTAATTATGATACATCTTTATTAAAATTTCAAAAATAGTCCAAAAGATTTGGGGGCATGAAAGCCTATCATATTTCTCAATTTTTATGTCAGTTATGTCTACAGTTATGTCTGCTTACTTCTGCTAATTTGGTGACCTTTTCATGATGTTTTAAATTTGTAAGTTGTTTAAAATTTAGCGATTTCAACCTCAACATGACATTTTGACATAATATTAATCTTTTTTGCCTTTGGTCTATATCAGCTTTGTATGCCTAATATATTCAATTGGACATATGAGACATCATGGATTTTTGGTTTTGTTTTTACTCTTGGCTATTGTGGGTAATACAGAAAGAGAAAAATGAGCTAGCAGAAAATGGATTTGATGTGAAAAGGCAGGGAGAAAGCTGGAAAATTTCTGAAAACCAGTGCAAGTCAGGGGCAAAAAGGGGAACAAAGGCACTTCTTGGTACATCAAAA